ACCGGGATGAGGATGACCAGCAGCAGCACCATCACCACCCCCAGCGCCCCAGCGGCTATCAGGCGCCTCCTGCTGCCCACCAGCCGGCTCAGCGCGGGGCGATCCTCTTGTCTGCTTTTGGACAAAATTTTGAAGGTTGGGCGGGGACCTCTTCAGAGCCGAAAACAACCCCCTGCGAACCCCAACTCCCCTGGGCGGGCGCGCGCCGGCTGCTCTTAGCAGGCTCCTGCTCCCCCCGCTGAGACTGCGGCCGGGGAGGGAGCTCAGGCGCCAAGTGACTTGAGCTGAAGTCCCGAGCTGAGGGTGGGGGCTGGGGGAGGGGTGCGCAGGGCGCCCTCTCGCCTTCAGCGAGCCCCTTCGCACCTGTGTGGCTGTCGCCGGCGCCGGCGCGGCCACCCGGAGGGCAGAGCCAGCCGCCGCCTCTAGCGCTCGCCCGGGCCGCTCACACTTTTATGCCGCTGCCTGCGATCGACTTTTCCGTTTTTGCAGACTGCGCCAGTTCGCACCAACTTTCCGTCTGAAGTTGCCTTTTTCTGCCTCCTCCTCCTCTTCTTTCGCTCTCTGTTCGCCTGTCCGCTGCCTTTTTTTTTCTTCCTCCTATACAACCACCGCAACTCTAATAGAGGCGCATCTCCAAAGCCCCACGCTGGCCACAGGAGTTGGGGCCAGGCGTCCCCCGAGTGCGCAGAGCGGAGGCCACCCGCACGGTGGGCTCGGCCAGGCTCCGGGCTGGAGCGGAGGAGCCAGCCAGCAGCGGCGAGCGCCTCACGGCCGGGAGCGGAGAGCGAGAGAGACTGAACACAGAATTCTGCCTGGGTACCACCTGCCAGGAGAAGAGGAGGCTGACAAACGCGCGCCGGAGCAATTTATAGGCACCCAAGGCACAGAGGAAGGGGAGCCGCTTTGGCATCTCATTGCAGCATCTGCTCTGCTCATCCCACTCAGAGAGAGTTTGGCATTACTCTGACAATGTGGGATTTTTTTTTTCGGCCCCTTTCCCCCCCTCTCCGCACATGGATGAACAGTGAGCTCTGAATACTCCCTTGCTGAACCCAGGCGATGGCAGCGCTCTCGCTGGACATAACTGGGGGTTGTTGGGGGAGGGCTGGAGGAGACAGCTGTGTGACTGCCCTGAAGACTCAAGGGTCACACCTAAATCCTCTGTTTCTCCACTGCCAGCATCCCCAGTTGGAGGGTGGAGGTGAAGGTTGAAAGGAGGGTGGCTTGGTTGACAATATTTCCCTTCTGGCTCACCCACGATCAGTGCCTCAGGTGTTTTTCCAAATGCCACATTTAACATAAGGAGGGCCCTTTAGAATTTTCCAGATGGTAGATGTGATTTTTTTTAACCTATGGTTTTCTCCTCCAGCCTTCTAAATGAAATGATATAGTTACCCTATGCACAGTAAGGTGTGTTAGAAAACCCAAGGACATGTATCGATTTAGATAGACATGTCCACCACACGAAAGGAAAGGGTTTGTTCTTACAGTAGCTGCACAGTGGTGAGGATATGCATATGCATTCTATTACAGGCTCACAACGCTAGCAGCCTTCCAGGAGAAGCTGCCATTGGACCAGAAGTTGCATTTACTTAAGGTGCTATGTGCTGAGAAATAATCACTTGTCAAACGCCTTCCAAAGGTAGAGCAACTCTTATA